ATATTTTATATATATTTTATATAAAGTTTTATTTGAAATATTATTAAAATATAGACTAAATATTTTATGTAATATTTATGATAAATATAAATAAATATTTCCAATAAATATTTTTTACTTAAATTATAATATCTTATTAAGATATTTACAAATATTTTGTAATATATATTTTATATATAAATTTTGTATGTTGTCTGGATTTAAAAACAAATTTGAAAGACATACAATAAAATACATTCAAAAGTTTATGCAACAAAAGTTTGTCGAAAACGTACACATAAATTTTTAAAAAGTATTTTTGGAGAGCTTATTAAATTGTGACGATTAACATATCCTGACTCAATAAATTAAACATACCACTATCACGCAGCATTAATTCTGCAAAATCGTCGAAGCTTCCATTCATACCGTGGAATACTTTGCAATAATAATAATAACTGACGCAGACGTCTTTTGGATTTCTCGTGATATAAATTACCTGCAAAAAGATAAATCGATGTAAAAGAAAATAATATAGCTCTTCACATACGCGTTGCATTATCACCTTTGGTTTTTTCTCGTGAAATTGCCGCGGTAATAAGTCCCAAGGTAAATGAGTTTTAATGTATCGTGGTCTTGGCATCTTTGATATATTTTCGACGGAATCACCCAAATCTTTAAACCATTCGTCATACTTCCCGTTAACCATGATAACCGAACCTCTGCCGAAGGAAGACATTTAGAGAGTGATAAAAGATACTAAAGTAGTAATCTATTATTATACTGTCATATATAATATTAAAAAAATATTGTACAATATTCTTAAAATATTATTGTATAATAACTTATTTTAATTTTTTAATAATATTTATATATATCGTTCTAGAAATATTTTGCGCCTATTGGATAACGTCTGCTTATTATCTGGGTAATGCAATTTTTCTTGCAATTTTACAAAATATTGTTTCAACTCGAATCTAATACTTACTCGAGCGTAGGACTTCGCTTTAATATGATTGTGCGGGCTTCTTCGTAATCAAAGTCGTGCCCGATGCACCATGACATTTCTTGTGCCCAGTGACTTCCTGAAAGTCAATCAAGAAGTAATTTAATACTTAATCTATATATCCGCGTTAACGAAGAAATTTGTTTGGTCAGAAGTCACTCTAATTATACGTAAAATCTTTTTCATTTCAGATATAAAAGCCAGCTTATTTTTTTTATTATTACACAACCATGAAATTTATTTAGAATTATTTATTAAATTGTGTTATTAAAATTTTTACCAGTTCGAGGAAACGAGATCATCCAGACGTCGTCCTCGTATACCGGCATGTCACGTATTTTCTGCGCGTAAAAGATAATTTTTGGCGGCAGCAAGCAGCAACTGGGTTGCACCTTTACGAGACTCGGCTTCAATCCAAATACCTCGTCTAATTTTTCCGCCGTCTCGTCATCCATAGTCGAGAACACGATCGACTTTTTAGCCACTGCAAAAAAAGAACCAATTCAGTACAAAAATGAGTGATTTAAAAAGATTTGCTGTGACAATTGAGACGATTCTATATCTGACTGTCACTTTTATTCCTTATTCACAATAAAATATGCAATAATAAGGAAAAGTTAATGTGATCCACTATTAGTTATTCGTGTGTAATTAATGTATTAAATAAATCAGGGTTTAAACGCGTTTGTATCTATATTTAATACACATTAATTACTCACGAATAACTAGTGGTGGTTCACATTGGCTTTTCCTTATTATTCTATATTTTATTGTTAGTTTATCTGTGGAGCTTTTTATTTATATCTTAATTTATTTGTTATTCCTTACTATTTATATCCTTCAGATACCAATATGCGCAAATTTAACGCGAATTCAAATATGGACTTCACACACTCGGATGTTGTTGCACATGCGACTTGCAGAGAAATGAGTGTACCACCCATGATGACCCACTGTCGGCTGGGATACTTTTTACCGGTTCTATTCCTTTTTCCTGTTTACGATGACTTTCGTACTTTCATATTTGCCATGTAAATAAAATGGTCAGTTTTGTTTATATAGCGTGCATTTATGATCGTGAAGTATATATCTCAGGATCGCAAATACTAGTGTAGCACACTGAGAAAAAAAAAATCCAAATTCAAAAGAATATTTTTTTGAAAGTAAGATTTTTTTTTCTCAGTGTGCACATATACATGTTTGTATAGTCTCTTTATCCATGATTACAGAAAAACATTTTTTTAACATATTTTTTTAATATTGTGTGCTGAAGCACGAATTATAGTTTGTATTAAAAAAAATTCAGGATAGAATTTTGTTTATAAGTTTATCTGCATTTCAAAAAGTAATACAAAAAAAATATTGATAAATTAGAAACTTATCCAATTATATACATATCCGCGAAAATACACGATACATAATATAATTTTGCAAATAAAATTTTACATTAATTTAAAGAATTTTTTAGGTATTTAAAGTGGACTTAATGCATATTATTTATTCTTTTTTTAATGTCTTCCTTTTTTCTAATATACCGCAAAGATGATTTCTTATCAAGTAATAACCGACGAAGAATTATTATGGTAGGAAGTGTAGGTAAAGTGTGAATAGTATTGTGCATGTTTAAATTATTTTGCGACGTTATTAACTTTCTCGTCGAGTAAAGATTTCACTTTCGGAGAAAGTCACTCAACTGCATTCTTATCAGGAATCGATTACACATTGAATGCATTCTGTGCTGTGGTCAAAAATGCAAACTTTTAACAACGAAAATAAAACCCTAAACATAACGCGATACAACAGCGATAACGATGGGAATGACAGGTGATAAGCATAACTATTAGAACAGATGAATTTAACATACCGGGAAATACATGGTGAGAGAAATCCGGAATTTTTATGGGTTTCTTTCAATATGCAGGAATATATATATATATATATTCAATACAGATCGAAACACAGAATAGACAATAGCAATAAAATTTCGGCCGATGAATTGGAATTCAATAGCGTATATACCGTATTTATAAAATATTTACAATAATATTTGTAAATATTTTTGTGGTACGTTTATAATATTATGAAATATTTATTTAATGTTATAGTAAATAATATAAAAATGTTTAATGAAATACATTATAATATACTAATCCAAATAAAAGTTAAAAATGTTTATATTTATCATAAATTATTACATATTCTATGCTGTCTGAATCATTACTGTATCTACTAAAAGTCGTAGTGATCGTAGGGCCTTAAGTATAGTAGAAAATTAACCAATCACAATTGAGAAAAATCCTTTATTATGATTAATTGATTATAGTCAATTTTCTATATGACTTAAAATCCTACGATTTTCTATTGTACACCACGCAAATGTCTATTTTATTGCTGTTTTTATCCTTATATTGCTATGCATTGTGTTTAGATCTAAACTCGAGCTGCTTCTTTTGCTTAGCAAAAGAAATAAAGGCCAATCGAGAAGATACGACGATACGAGAGGCTCAAAAAGTCGAGTCAAATGCGCGCGAAAACTACGCTTTGCAGACCACGTGACCTCCCCCCACCCATTTCAATCACGTGGTTTATTGATTGATCTGTGATTTACGAGTGTGCTGAGTGTGCTTTGGAGCACTTTGGAGTTTGGGTCATCGATGCATACGAGTTGAACGCTCCTGTTTACGTACGAGTGACCGTATATGACATGGGTAAGTCTGTTCATCGCAAAGTCCATCCCGGAGGTTGACGCGACCGTCGAATGCAACAATCGCGCGTCTTCGGTTCGTCGCACAACCTTGGAGGTTATATCCCGTCTGTCTACACGCACAGCTGTTCGTGCGTATGACTTTTCTCATTCATTGACGTGTGCATTTACAAATGCTTACATGCTGTGTGTGCTCGCAATTTTGTATCCTTGAATTTTCGTAAAAGTCTCAACGAGCGTACAATCTCGAGAGAAAGAAGGATCGCAGAAATGTACGACCGTTGCTTTTCACGCGCTCGAGAAGCAACCTTGAAAGAATGAGAGTTCGTAAGTGCGTGTCTCCATTCATTTTTACTCACGTAAGATTTTTTTTTTTTCGTGCTTTCTCTCGTTCTCGAATTTTTGGCCGTACCAATTTTCTCAATTTCCCATTAAATTGGTGAAGATTATGTTGCCACACTTTTTGGAATCTTGTCTTTTATCTCTGAATGGATCTAATACGGGATGCTTTCCATTCAGTGACACAAGTCGACAAATGTCATTCTGTCTTTCCTGAGTTCATTCAATGAGTAACAAAGATAGAACGACACTTGTCTTTATTTGTATCATTAAATGGAAAGCATAGCCAGTCCCTTATTTGTATAATAAGTAAGATCAGTGGTCTTTGTAATAGCAGGAACGTGTATTGAAATTACTTAGTTGTTTGAATGCAGACTCAATGTGCTTATGTTGTAATGTGTGGTTGTACGGGAGTGTCTCCATTGTGTTGAATCCATAGGTTTGCTAAGCCCAAAAAATTATGCAAATCAACACATTATTACAAATTGAAATGAACGAGCTGTAAAGTTCTTTGTTGTTTCAACAAGCTTTATGCTATTTTCAGAAAATAATTTATTTGTTTTTCGTAGTTGAAATTTTGATTTTTCTCTTCTCACTAATGTGCCTAACTATATTAATTTTAAGTATAGAAGAAATAACATTGTACAAAGAACAGACTTAATAGTATGTTTATATTAATTGACATATAATTATTCTCCAATGTTACTTCGAAATATGTTTTATTTATAAACTGAAATTCCCTTCAGGTCTGTAAATCAAAAGGAGCGGTGCTGTAGTTTAAACCGCTTTGGGAAGCGGGCAATGTGGCTTCGCAATAATAATTACTGGAACTTTTCCATGGATCAGATATTTCATGATCTTATTCACGAATGTAAATATGTGGCACCAGGAGCGCAACTCACTTACACCTTGAGAAATCGTTTAGAGAAGTATAAAAAAGAAGTGCGGAAGGATATTGTGTCTCGTGAGAAAGAAGGTTGTGCCGCATTGTTTATCGCCTGCAAAAGAGGTCACGTAGAGATTGTCGAGTATCTCATAAAAAAATGTGACGCAGACATCGAACAAAGAGGAAGATACGAAGTACCGGACGACAGGTCTGTTCACTGTGTCACTCCGCTATGGTGTGCCGCAGTATCGGGAAATTTGGAAGTTATAAAATGCCTTATATCCCATGGAGCTGATGTCAATGCAGTCTCTGATTCTGGATCTACTCCTGTTAGATCTGCATGCTTTATGACACATATGGGTAACAAATTATATATTATTCATTTAGAATACAATAGAAAGAAAATAGAATATATAGATAATGTATTAGATATCTTGTAAAAACATGTTTTATGAAGTGGATAGAAGTGTGTTGTTTTTATACATATAAATTATATATTTCTTATCAGACTATTGACAAAAAAAATTGTAAAATTAGAGAATTGTTAAATTAGAGAAGTTTAAAAGAAAAGATAATAATTTTATTCTAATTTTACAACGTATATGTGATTCTTTATCTACTTGTGTCTTTTCAATTAAAATAAAGCAATGCCTGCATAATTTTTCGCGCTCAAAGTATTAAAGGTAGATATTTTACAATAAGAGCAACATATATTTGTGATTAAATTAAAAATTATTTAAAGATCAAGTGGTTGAGTTAAAAATAAAAATAAGAAGAAGGAGCAT